CCAATGACCATAGCTGTCCGAGATGAAAGTTACAGGACGCATACATGGTGTCCTCCAGAGGTCTCACAACTTGTATATCTGGGAATTTTTCAAGGTTACATGAGGTCAGGTCGGTCACGTGACATCACTGTTATAAATCAATGGGGAAATATAAAAACTGTTATTTTGGCGCCGAGATTGATCTAAAACTATCCCACGTACATGGTATCGTGATTTCATGCACTTCTTGCAAAGCCCAATGCTTTACTTTTACATTGTTAACCTTGCGTGACGTCATTTATGAAGTCACTAGGGTCGTACGAGTTTTTCGTCAATAACTCCCGATCAAATGGAGCTAGAGAGTCGGGAAAGCCACCAATGGACTCGGGAAGACCTTCCGAATCGAATGATATGCCATATGATACCCTTTGCCCAGTTTCGTGACCTGAGGGGCTCTGACCTGACTTTGACCCGAGGTCAACTACTTAAGTTGACCGCACCCTAGCAAAAAGTATACCATTCGATGCACCTGAGCTAGGCGAACACAATGATGCCAAAAATTGCGGCTCTGCGGCCATTTTTCGCGAAGTTATTGACTAAAAACCGAACCCGTAACTTCAGTCACGTGACCTGACCTCAGACGCTACCGGTTAACCTGAGACCTTAAAATCGGGTACCAATCGCTGCGACTTTTAACAGCACATACGCTCGTTTTTTCCGCGAGGCTCTAGCTCTATTAGAAGCGAAACGGCGTGCTGGGGTCGTATCAACCCCTCCGAAACCCATTTTGTTTGCGGGAAAATGAGGAACTTATAGAAAGAACACCTTTCTAATTTTTTGCATGTCGATTTGCAATGATATGAAGATTATTTTGAAAAAATAAAAATGTGAAAAATTTTGGTCCCAAAAGTCATTAGAGGTAAATGAAAAAAGATTAAGGTTTTTGCTCAACAATGAAATTTTTTCTTTGGAATTTTTAAATAGTAATATTAATTTTTGATTCATCGCAAGATTAGTGTTGTTTACTTTTTGTTGGTTGCTTAACCCGTTCTTGAGTTATAAGCCATCAAACTCACCGTTACATACCGAAGTTAAAAAAATGTAATGCAATATAACTCAAAAAGTTTTGATCTGAGAAGTCTGATATTTTGCCAGGCGTCTTTGGGGCCTATGATTACCCCTAGGACCGATTTTCATTAAAATCTGAGAGATGAGGGTGACGGGCCTGGTACGATCTATCGTGGAATGCCCCAGCTGTGAGTGGTCGGGATAGGGGTGGGCGGTCTGCTGTCCGATAGTGGTACGGCAGCTGCATGTGTTTCACCAATACGGGGAACGCTGGTCTGAACGCTTGTGTTCGGCACTAACAGGCGAACACAAGTGATACATTACCCAAATACTGTCTTCCTTTCAAATAACTTATTCTTCTTATGTCATGAACAAACAAAAAATAGAAGACACGATCTTGAAAAAAAATACGAATAAAGGAGTTCGACGAAAACAAATTCACCCAAGCTTACCCAGATATCAAGCATGCACAATGCACATAATGCAATAGTATATATTTAATTGCCCGGTCCGAGCACTATACCAGACATTATTTCGGTCGCTTTCCCAAGGGTGTTTTAAAATAATGTCCGAACGAAGTGAGGACATTATTTTATCGAAAATAGCGTCCGAACGGAGTGAGGATGCTATTTTCGAAAATTGCACGAATGAAATGAGTGCAATTTTCGCATTGAATGTGCGAGCCTGCGAGCACATTCAATGAAAACACCCTTGAGGAAAAGCGACCGTATCATGGCTGGTATAGTATTCGGACCGGGTAATTAAATTTATTATAGTAAATTTTTGGCACCGAGCACCAACGCATCTCTGAGAAAGGGTTCGCTTTTGGGCTTCGACATCAAGGATGGGCATGGAAGATGGGGGGGGGGGGGCAGCAAATTGGTACAGCTTTGGGCGTATATAATGAAAATTATTGCCAATGGACTTTAACACACGATGGGCGAATAATGTAATTAATCTACCACTTGGTTTCAGTATACGTATACAAATTGTAAATTGCCTACCACGTCGTATTTTGCTTGAAATTCATCCCTCATTTCTCAGATATTTCCTGGTAAACATGCGAGACGCGTCTGTTACTTTTATTAGACATTCATGCTACGAAGCAATTGCGAGTGAGGAGTAGGCGTTGCGGAGACATGCTTTGTCCTCATAAGTGGGAAAATGTCGTTGCGTTCTATATTTTGACATCCAATATCCATGAAGGTATGATAACAAACGTCGATCTTACTACAGACACTGGCTCCTGGCAGTGCTGTTCTTCCCGTTTTGTAAGGTTCATCTTCAATTGTTATTTTCACTGGCTCTTGAGAACGTACCTCGAAATCTGCCTTCTAAATTTCTGCGTAACCTGCCAAGCCATATCTTTGAAATGCATACGATAAGTCATTACATTAAGGCTGTGTTCTTTTCAAAATTCACCTGTCAACCTGTTTCGCAATTTACTCTATTCCAAGCTGCAAACTTCTATGACCGATTGACCGGACTTTTATTGAAGTTTCAGTCATCGAACGCATTGTTTAACAGGGAGCTTTTGAAGAGAAGAAAACTGCCGTATAATGAAATTAACCGCCGTGTTTTTATGCATGGGTTTTGATAGGCATTTCCGAGTTTTGGCGTCGACTGAAATTAACCGTCTCTCGCGCTTCTGGCTTTCAGCAGGCCACCTTTATACAAAAATTTAACTGAACTTTTTTAACATGCGTCGGCGGCAAAAATGTACTATAATGCAACTTATTTTTTAAGGTTAGTGATTGGTTAAGACACATTTTCAATTTTTGATGAAAAGAACCATAAATGAATTGAAGACAATAAAACAAAGGGAAATAAGGAAAATTTGATTTGAACTCTTTCTACCTCATTTTCGCCCTTACGTGATACGAGTATATCTGGGGCATTGGTGAATTTAAATGTGCTGATACTTATCACAATGTTCGCCACCGGTCACGCTTCTAAACAATTTCAAAAGTAAATATATTTACTTGCATTTTCGCCATTTTCCTGTTCTCCAAAGAAATATTCCCAGCCATTCCCAGCCGGTGGTAGGCTGGTTGGTACCTGTCATCCCTCACCTCTCCTCCCCCTCCCCTACCCCATCAATCCCCATACTCGGCCCACGGTAACACCACCGATGTAACGCTGTCGATGTAACGCTGTCGATTTGGCTGACTGTACAGATCGTGGGCGCTTTGTCCGATGGAACGACCAAGTGGCCCGTCACTGCACCAAGCACCGACACTTGTGTGGAGTTGCCGATAGAAAATGGGCCACACCTGAGGCATATAACGCGGACAGGGAGGGGAACGATAGAAGGGGGGGTCTGCTGGTTAGGTCTGTTGGTTTGTCTATTATTTACGCTTGTCCACCTTTTTGATTGCCAGATGATTAAAGTGTCTCTGTTGTTTCGGGACGTTCTGCGATTCGTTTTATATGTTATAGTTTGATTCTGTAACATACAAAGATAAAATAATGTGATTGGTCAATAAGCCCCTGGAGGCTGGACACATCTTAAGTTCCTAATAATTTTTGGTAAATAGTTGCATTGCTCCGTTTGTAAATCGAGGTATAATTTTCTGTCTTGTGCAAGTGTCATAGCGGTCACCATCTCCACTTCTAAGATTTCCTATGCAACAATGCACTCTCATATAGGACACAACACATTTGATTATCGTTAAAATTTTGGTGAGCCCCGGGATTAATCGGATGACAAAGCGTTTCGTGGCCGTGGGGAGAACATCGATAACTGATCGATAATTGTCGCATCAATGATAGTCATTGTATTCCTCCTCATCGCTTAATTTACTGCATATAAAATATTCAGCAATCAGCATGCAGCGTAATACGTTGCAAAAAGGAATTAATTACGGAGCGAGCGAAGCGAGCGGAGTCTTACGTAGAATAACGGAAATTTCTGAGTATGAGCGGCCGGCCGGCCGGCCGGCCGGCCGTGCGGACGCTTTTGCGAGGCTTATATCTCAGCAACCACTTGACCGATTTACATGCGGTAATTTTTGTAGGGTAGCTTCATTCCTTCTACCAAGTATTGGACTATTCCCGATGCATGTGGGTGACCCCTTAAGCACGTGCCACGTGCAAAACGAAGAGGTGTCACTTTTGTAATTGTTGCAATATCTCGGTAACTACTTGGCCGATGGCGCTGAAAGTTGGCATGTAGGTAGGCACCCACTAGGCGCTGCATATCCATGTGCCAGAGTTGGGGTGCTGCTGCACGTGCGCACGTGCAGGGGTCGTTTCCAGATCTCGAGAACGGCTGGACCGATGGCGCTCAAATTTGGTACACGGTTAGGGACCAGTTAGTAGGGTGCCGTGCACAAGTCAGTTGGGACCCATTTTGCACGTGCGCACGTGCAGGGTGCCGCTTCCAGATCTCGAGAACGGCTGGGCCGATTGTGCTGAAATTTGGCACATCGCTAGAGACCAGTTAGTAGGGTGCCGTGCACAAGTCAGTTGGAGGTACCCCCTCGAAATTTCGCACGTGCAAGGATCCCCCTCTCGCTCGCTCCGTTACTCGCCCCAAAAGGCGTTATACTGGTTTTACGTTTGATGTGATACATCTTATAGCAATGATTATTATTTGTTGCCTTAGCTAAAGACCTTGTGAATCGATTCGATAACTCTGTATGCATATGCGTTCTCCGATCGAGCAGGCGCGTCTCTCAGTTTGACTGTCGGCTCCTGTGACCCCGACCCGACCGGAGCGCGGCCCGCCGCAGACCTGTGCCGCCGGCGGCGGCGGCTGCCGTCGGTGGCTCGTCGGTGGGCCGGCGGTCGGCCGTCGCTCGTCGGCGGCGGCCGCAGGTGGGACGCTGGTCGGCGCGCAGGTCACCGTCGGCGACCGGCCGCCCCCCGTCGGTGGGCCGGCCGGCGGGCGGCCATGCCGGCCCGCCGCCGCCGCCGCCGTCGCCGGCCGCTGGCCGCCGTCGCGCCGGCCGCCGGCCAGTCGAGTCGCCGCCGCCCGGCCGCGCTGACGCGCCCGCCGCCGCCGAGCCGAGCCGAGCCGCCGAGCCGTCCCGACATGCCCACTGGGGCTCGCTGACCGCGCACAGACTTTGATCGCGAGTGCAGCGACGGCACCAGCCAGTGGCCACGTGGCCAATATGAGGAAGAAGATGCCGCCTTCGATGCGGATCCTGCAGGAGAGCCAGCCGGACCAGGGTGAGTACCGACTGAGCGGCGCCCGGGGCGGGACGGCCGGGTCACAGGGGTGGCGGCGGGGGCGGGAAACTTGTCCGGGCCTGTGACGAGTGACACGTCCGGGCCTTCCCCTTCATCATTTCATAAGTTTTAGCTGTTACGTGTTTCTTTGACTACCATTTTTTTACGAATGGTGATAGGCTGTTGAAATTATTGCTGCTTTTTATGTTGGGTCATAGCTTGCTTACTCGTAGTCCCGGAGAACGAGTTTCTCCTTATGGTTTAGGTGTTGACAAATGCAGTTTATTGTAAGCAAGCTCTCGAAACTATTCCTTTCGTCAAACCAGCAAGAAGCCATATATTTTGTTGGGCATTTTTAAAATGCTGTCCTTATTTTAGTGCATTCTTTGGTACACAAATAAAGGAGAACCGGTTACGTTGCCCTGCTTGTATTTGGAAGCATTTAGAAATGTTGCTCAGTCCTAGTTTCTAGATAAATTAGTTTTGCATTCGTGCCTCACTAGTTACTTTTGATACCAGATCATATGTTGTGGTATATGTATTGCTAAGGACAAATGTGTATTTCCTACACAATTTGATATTTGTGTGATGCTCAGACAATTGCGTGCTAAACATAAAATAGAGTATTGATCTCTATTCACAGCGTTGCTACTTGCACTCTGACATATTTACTGAACAATATTTGGAAGACATCCTGAAGACTTTGGTTTATTTTTGTTAGTTCATAAATATCACCTACATAATTATGTATTCTTATAACCCATTGTAATATGAATGCGTGATAACAATTTGTATATAGGTTGTTGCAATGGAAAATGTTCACTTTCCCCTCTCTCTGGAGGCAAAATGTTTCAGTTCAGATAAAACACTCAGCCAAAATAGTATGAGCTTTATTTTTCCGATGAGGAAGACTTTTTATTGACATGCGAAGCACGGATATAATTGTACTTCAATTTGATGTTTTACATTACAGCTACCAGTGAGAAGTATGGTTTTGTTTGTTTTCTTCAAGTAGGTTTGATCTGATGCACTGACTATGTCATTTTATGTGGAAAATATTTTTTTCAGAAACTTTACCGTAGCGTCTCATCATGCTTAATTACTTGCGCAATAATAATAATAATTGCGCTGGCGTAATTACTTGATTTTTTTTCAACTGTTTGGAGAAGAAAACGAGATGTAACAAATTGCTATGATGTTTCTCGTCCACAAAAAACTATGCCTATTTTCCGTCATTTGCGCTTATCCATTCGTATCAAACTGATCGATTTAGTGGACATTTTAGTCTTCAGAACCTAATGCTCATTTTACAAGTACAGTAATGAAAACGACTAAATACCGTCAAATTTTGTGTCCACCATTATCGGAAACAAAGTTTGAGACGCCTGTTAATCTTTTGGAACGTGAAATTAGATAAACGTTTACGCTAGACAAAAAAAAAAGATTTTTAGAACAAAACACAGGTGAAGGAACGTTATTTGGTTCTATTTATATTGCATTAAAATTATTTTACCTCGTCAGATAGGATTTTGAGGTTCTTGTATTTTGGGGACTTCAAACGGTAGCCGTCTCTTTGTTTATCAGCTTGTGATTCAAACTGTTTGAATGCAAACCAATAAAATTTTGATTTTTGCACTGCTCAATATGCTTCTATTGAGCCGGGAAAACATCAACTATAAATTACTTTCCACAGCAAATTATGTTTGTTAAGCTATCGACATTTTTTGTTTACCTTTGCTCTTTTTGAATTATCAGTTCATTTAAATTAGTCGTATCTTCTTATTGCCTATCAAATAATTTTAAACACTATTTTCCGTATTACAATACAACACCTTAAAGTGTTTGAGTAGCAGCGTATAGTATTTGGGCAAATTTAAGGTTCACATATCTCTCCATGGTGACGGTTAAGTCGCTGGTGCTTTCCTGCAGCTGTCAAAGTTAGCTTATGTTGCGATCAAAGTGCATCATTGCAAATCATCCAACTGTCCCTACGACTGTTTTTAGAGCAAATTATCATTAATAAATTATTTGCTTCAGCTAAAACTGGTATGATTTAATTGACATGACCACTAATATATCAGGCACAGTTGTTAGCTTAAACTGTTTTCAGTTGCTGTAAGCTCTAACTAGATTAAACACTGATTGATTATGAGACTTTGGCAAATACGTCGCTCTAGGTCACAGTATGTGTCATTAAAAGGGTATCTTCTCCGAAATAGATGAAAGGGGTTTTCAAGATCATAAGCGAGGCTTCATTTAGCGCACTACCTGACATCGCGAAACGATGCGGTCACTGGATGTTCTTATTCCTTTATATTTGCCCTGTGGCAAATGCAGGCAATGATTTCGAAGGTAAGCGAGCGAAACCTTGTTTGTTATTAAATGTTACTTACATCTTCCAAGTAGCTCTTGGACAAGCTGACCATTGACTATGTCATTATGACAATAAGGAAGGTGCCGATTTGCTAATAAGTTAAAAATAGGTTCTATGGCTAGAGGCGTGAAGGTAAAGCATGTATGAAAGCTAGATTTCGCTTCATTTTTTTCCGTGGCCTAAGGCATTTTTTTTCTCAAAATCAAAGGTTTTGACCTTTGATTTGATTTGACCATGACCATGACCAATTTCAATTTTTTTATTTGACCATGACCAATTTTACAAGATTCAAAGTTAAATGATTCTTTGAAGTCATCAACTGAGTCGTTATGTGACGGAGCCGTTTTCAAAAAGACGTTTTCCTCCACAAATTTGCATGAATCTATCCTTTCTATCCTTTTCTATCCTTACTCTATCCTTTCTTTCTTGTCAACGGAAACGGTAACACGCTAACGGGGTAATTAAAACAGTCATGGAAATGACCTCAGCCTTCCAAAATCTGTTTTCATTTTCTCCCTCGCACTGACCAGCTGCCACTGTCAGTCATCAGCCATCATCGGCCTATCATCAGCAGTCAGCGTTCATCAGCGATGGGCGGTCCTCTCAGAGCAGGGGTCAGCGGTCAGAGGAGGTTAGCATTCCACTCTGTCAGCGGGGATCACTGGTCAGCCGCCTGTCTCGGCGGGTAGGGTCGGCCGTCAGCGTTCCTCTCTGGACAGGGGTCACTCACTGGTCCTCCCCCACTCCGTCCCGCGGCGGTGAGGGCCGTCCCGTCCCGCTGTCCCTCCTCTCGACATTCCACCTGCCCGCCTCGTGTCGACGCCGAGCGGTCCGTCCCGGCGGCTGACCCCGGCGACCCGGCGCGGCGGTCATCCCTGCCGCGGCGGTGATCCAGTTACAGCGGCAGCTGGTGCCGCTGCGGGTCCAAGGCTGGCCGCCGCTCTCGGCCGTTCACCGAGACCCACCCTGGGAACGGGCACCCGGCGGCCAGCAGAGAGGGGCGGGGGACGATCCCGGCGACGGTCCTGCCACCCCACAACGAGAGCAGACCGGGGACTGCCCGCCCGGCGCCCCGGGACGCGTCATGTCCACCACTTGCACAAACTGGGCCGCTCTCCGGCGTCCGGCCGATTGTGTGCTGTTTTGGCCGAGAGGAGAGCTGGCGCGGTGGGCCGCGACGGACCTTTGTCAGCCGCGGCCGGGCCGCCAAAAATAGGGCACCCATCCCGCCGGCCGAACATGCCCGATCTAGATAAACAGGCAGCATCAAAGGTGGCATTCAGCCGGCTCCGCGCCGCCCCGGCCAGATATGGTCAGTGCGCGACCATTGTCGACTTGTTTTGCATATTTTGATGGTTGTTTTGTCGCCGGTTCGCGTTGGAAACGAGCAGGGGACGGCGGGACGGTCGGTCGGCCGGGCGGGCGCTCCCTTCAATCATTTCCAATTTACATGAGAAGGCTGCGTGGCCAGTGGGACTCGTTCCGTATTCATTGCTGGCTAAACTGAGTCCGTGGTGGACGGTGGTGAGTTTGTCTGCATCAACGGCGATGCGGTGGTCTGAGTTGCCGAAGGGATGCTCACTGCTCACGCACAGACTGCAGTCTCCGCGGTTGCCGGCACGATTGAGGGAGCTGTGTGGTCCGCCCGGCGGAGCTGCGGGTCCGAGGACAGCTCCGCAGCTCTCCAGCTCACCAAACTAAGCGGTCTGCGGTCGGTGATCGGTCGTGATGCCCTCCGCAGCTGCAGCCAGCGGTCCAAACAGAGCTCAGGTGCACACGCAGATCCATCCGAAATTACTGTTTGTGGCGGCGCGCTGTGTGTGCCAGGCGGAGACCTTGGTAGCGAGCCAGGATGGAGCAGAGGACCGCTGCGGTATCACGCGGATGGGCCCGGGACTATCAGCAACAGCCCCAATCATCGGGCGGTAGGCACACGCCGCACGCAACAATGCATACTGCAGGTCGTGGGAGTGAAACACTCCTGCTGCTTTATTATTCAATCGAGATAAGAAAAATTTGATAGCTACATGCATCTACACCGAGCACATGTGAACTTCACGTCACATGATTTGATAAAACAGACACATGTTATTCCGCGCGATAGCGGTGAAACATTTGTTGCACATCATTTGAATTTATTCATGAATAATGTTTCAAACTACTAGGGTTGACTATTAAGTAATGGAAGTGCCTTAACCCTCGCCGGCCGAGGGGGGGGGGGGCGGGTGCCGCCCCCCCCCATAGGGTTTTTTCGCGATAGCTCCGAACACGCTGGCGATAGAGAGCTGAAACTTGGCATACCTGACCTTTGATCCAAGCCGGATCTTTTGACACCAACCGCATTTTTGGGTCAGGTCAGGTCACTGACCTATGACGTCATAAGTGAACCTCTGCACGGTCTTCAGATGTCGCAACTTCGCAACGCCCTCACTGCCAGAGGAGATGTCACAGGGAAATGAAACTTGCAGGATCTAGTATCCATTATGAGTCTCACAACTTGTATATCTCGGATTTTTCCTAAAGGTCATATGAGGTCAGGTCATTTTCGTGACCTCACCATTATAAGTCAATGGGGAAAAATTCAAACTGCTATTCTGGCGCCGGGAACGATCTCCAACTATCTCAA